ATGGCTCAAATGAATCATTTTGTAAAATTAATTTCCTTCAGGGAGTTAATTAAATAAGCAGTTTCACAAGACAATATTCAGTGAATTTACTGAAAGGCTATTTTATAATCATGAGCCAACTTAAAGGTAGTATTTCCATCTCCAGGTGAGAAGCCAACCTATCTAAGTGGGTTGAGATCCTTTTTCCACTCGAAATAGACCTTCTCCTCCCATCGGAAGTACTGATCTATTTGAACTCAAGTCTTCCTCAAACTCTTCTGGACGGCCTGCCTCCTCCTGTCAACCAGCTCAAAATAAGCAGCTAGCAGGTGGACCAAGCAGAATTAAAGAGCTTCACATTTAGAAGAAAATAATTTTTTTAAAGGTCATGCTTCTTCCTGATTTGACCATCTCTCACCGAAACAATACTGGGTCAAACTCCTGCTCGACAATTTATTAGGTGTGTAATATTGAGCAAATCTCTTTATTTCTCTGTGCCTCGGGGATTTCTTTGTAAAACGAGTGTATTAGATCAGAAAATTGCCAGGGCCGTTGTAGCTCCAGAAAAATCCTATGATTCCATATTTGGCTGGCTCGATAACAACATTTATAAGCCATCTCACCTATAAATTGTGTTGTCAGTGAGTTCAATATCTGAACTTGAAGAGGTTTAAGGAGCAGCTGGATGAAACTGACTGTTCATCAGCCAATTACATTTGGTCTCTGAACTAACGGTGTCACCTTCCCCAAGCTCAAGAGAAGTCAGAGTTGTTGAGATGCCACCATTAAAGCCACAACCTCATAACCCTGTTCTGAGAAAGAAGCCCCAGCTGAGCTTACTATTTCCAGGAAGCGTCTTCATGATCCAACCCAATCCAACTGATTCTGTTTCAGTCCTTTCAGGCTGGCTGCTGTGTGCTCTATTCTAACCACAGGCTGGACGTGACTTTCATAGCTTAAAGTCAAAGGCTATTCCTCCCAGTACAAGGGAGAACACCCCATGGATGAGAAAGACTGAACAAAAGTGTAACAGAAAGAATAGCAACACAACTGGAAAGAATTAAGCTGTGGCTTATGATGCTGGAATGCAGATTTTGTTGGGGAAAATGGAATGTTTCCAGCTTTCTGCACTTGAACCCAAACCCCCTACAGTGTCAGGAAATCAGGAACTTAAACTGTCACAAGAAATATAATGGGGTTTAAAGAAAGCCTATAACATTTATCAAGGAGAAATCGCTGCAGGCTGCCGATTCCTTAAAAGGGGTGTGGGTTTAGACTCACAAAATTAAGATGCACAAAGATTTTGCGTGAGACTTCGGAATGCAACACTACCATTTCGGTGGAAAAAAAAAATACTATTCTCTGTTGGATTAAAAATGAATTGTACCACCGTCTATGCCCACCATGCCTAGTGGAACAGCCTCATGACCCAAAGTGAATGAGTGGGAACATCAGGAAGATGGTAAGGACATGAGTCCTTACATGAATAAATGTGACCAAGGCCTTAACCAACAATCAGGCTTGGTTGCTAAAAACTTAAAATCCAAGCTGAGGTTAGAGACTCTCCAGGAAAAGCTGTACTTAAAAAAAAAAAAAAAAAAAAAAGAGGTTTTGAGAAACTTATCTATCATCTGTTATGTCTTCCAGAACCTTCCAGGAGAGTATGTGCTAGGAGAAGTCCATTCTGACCAGACACCACTTGCGGGGCTGTGAACACTCCTGGTCCAAAGATTCCTTATGATACTTTCAGGGCAGTGCTGGCCCAGAGGCCTGAGCATCTCAAGAGAAGCTTTCAGCCAGCAGCCCTGCTATCTGTATGGCCAAGACCCACGCTCCTAAGGGATCTTCTCACCACTGTTCAAGACTTCTCCCCAGAGGTGGGAGGCAGCACTTTCCAAGAGTAGTTTGTACTGATTTACATGCAAGTCTGAAGGCCAGGTAGAAGCAGCAGCTTCCGACAATCATTTCATGGGTCTAGTTCAATGACGTTTAGCAAATGTTCTGTGTTGTGAAAGTTTCACCACGATCCAACTTTAGAACACGGTCCTCTCTCCAGTCAGATCTCTGGTGTCTGTCACAGTTAGTTCCCATTCCCACCGCCAGTCCTAGGTTGGTGTATGGTATGTGGGCGCCCTTCCCTCCCCTCAGCTCCCATGTCCTCAGGTCAGGCATCCCCTGCCTCACCTGCACCGCACAGGTTCCTTAGTGCTTCCTGGCAAGACACAACTCTGCCATTGGCTGTCGCGTGGAGGCCAGACACAAAGGCACAAGGTGCATGCACGTACATACCTCCCACCCAGGCCAGGAATTGATATAATACCTTCCCCATCCAGCCCACCAGAGAGAAATCCAACTCTGCTCCCCAAGGCTTCCAACTCAGCTATTATAGGTATGGCCATGATTTGCAAAGGCTGCAGGGAAACCAAATATTGTCCTTCACGACATATCTCATTTTTAGAAATCAGTACCACTTAGACCTTTAACCTGAGAATCCTGCCTGTTTCTTGAAGAGGATATTGTTAATTTCAGAGGTGAAAAGTCCTCTTAAGATGATCAAAGAAATGAAGAAAGTAATGGTAGAGAAACCACTTCTGGAAAATCAGTTATACCACTCACCGAACACTTTCTTAACAACCAAGGTTAAACACCGTTCTAGAAACAGTGGGAAGAGAACCAGAGAAGCATTTTTTAATAGGTTCCACCAGAAATTGGTGTCCAGTTTCTGTTTCTTGGCACACAATGGCTAGTAGGTGCTTTCTGGTAGGAGCAAATGTGTATAACATTGGATAAACCCACTTTGTGGAGGTCCAAGAATGGGACACCATAATCCTGAGAGGCAGACCAGGACTGCAGACCTGTGCATTGAGAAAATGAACGCTGGCTGGTGTTCCATCTTGAAAAACCAGCCTGAGAGCAAGATCGCTCTGCAGCAGACATCCCTGAAATACAATTTTATGGAAATAGCACCCACGCCTAATTTATTCGAAAATATTTTTTACTTCTATTGATTAAAAAACAGTAGAAAAATGGATTCATACATAAAACAGTAAAAAAAAAAAAGAACTTAATTTTGCAGATAAACACAAACACACAAAATGGATAGCATCTTCCATAGAGATGGGGTTTTTCCATTTAAGAGCTGGAAGAAACATTCCCTATTAATTTAGCCCAGTTGCTAAAATTTCTGTTTCACATGAACATCATATTTTCTCATTTTTCTCTCCTGAGTTTACCCTCAGAATGGTAGGAAATGCATTGTGACAAAAATGTATAAAACATTGGCCGAGCCCCACATCAAAAGAATTTTCCTAAGGAAAAGGCAGAATAAGATGAAAATTTGAAATCCCTATAGAGGTTTTTTTTTTTCTTGAAGCATAAAAAGAAGACATTTTTCACGCATGAAGTCCCACAGTCCCCTCTCCCAACCCTTGCAACAGAGCCCATACAGTTTCATAATCTCTGTTTTTGAAAAAGAGAAAACAATAATATGAACATTTCAATCTGGAGAGGGAAACACAGAGATATCATTGCACAAACTTTTAACTTCTGATTTTCACAGCCACTCCAATTAGCCAAACTATGACTATGACAAGAGTGACTAAAATCATGGTAGAAAGAAGTGATTATCTTACAAAACAAAGATTTCTGATTAGAGAGAACTGTAAGTCAATACGTTATGTTGAAGTGATTTCTACTCGGGCTCCTAAGAATGGAGGCCTCAGAAACAAATGTCTAGAGTCAATTTACCTGACTTGCACGTTACCTTAACTGCATTTCAAGAATGACCTAGTGGTCTGATTGAATTAACAGGCAGAAAATTCAAACTGGATTTCTATCGGGTGGTTTGCAGCCCTGAGGAGAACAACCCGATCTGTCTGTCTTAAAAAGCTGGTGAAACAACCCTAAGGCATTAAACATCGGGGAAGAGAATCCCATTATAAAAGCTCGTCATACATCAGTCTGTTTGAAACACATCAAGTCTAAGAATACCCAAAGCGAAGACATCCACACGGGGGGTCAACCCCCATCATTCATGCACACACGGTCACGCAGATCAAGAACAGCCAAACACTGAGACCAACCCCAGATCATGGGGTTACTCTTCCCAATACTGCAAGCAGCTTAAAGTGAGCCTCAAGACAGAGGGTAGACATAAACCTCCGCACACCCTGCACATTTGAAGAAAGCAGGCTCTACACACGGTCACCTTACCTTGGGTCTTCTATTATAAGCAGCATTGACGTCTTACACCAGACCTGCATTCAACCATTAATTTAGAAGGAGCTCTTCTTCAGAAAAGAACTCACTTATTTGTGTTTAACATTAAAATAAAAACAACTAATTCCATCATTGAGTCAGCTTTCCACTAAATACCACAGAAACAGTGATCCCCGCATGCAAACAAGTAATAACACAAATGCTTCTGCACCATGCAGAGCAATTAATTCCAAAATGTGTTATGACATAGAGTGAAAATCTGTATCAAGATTTTCAATGGAGCCGGTCTTTGCCCTGAGAGGCAGGACTTTCCACATATTCTTTAAATAATCAAACAAACCTCTTTTCCCCCTCCCACATAATGGTTAATTCAAGTTCTACAAATCACATGATTGTGACCCCCCCATTGTCCATATCTTGAATTCCAAGTGGGCCTATTTTGAAAGTTCTTGCAGGAACTTTCAACTACAACATGGGAATTTTATAATCAAAATGTTTTCCACACTGAGAAACAAGACAGATAACATCATGAAGGCTCCCCAGACATCAGCCTATTATATTGTCACAAAATAACAGCATTTGTCTTAGAATTGAGACAGTTGACTGCTATCGAAACTCCTTCATCAGTCGGCAACAACACAGCAACAAAAAAGCAACTCGAGAAACCCTTTGCCTTCTCATTTTTAAGAATCTCATATGCTCCCACTCAGTAGAACAGAACTGAGACTCACATTTTATTTGTCTTCCAAAAATAGCCTGTACTGTGAACACAGGGAGAGAGATAATGAAGACCAGATGCCTACCTTCACTGGTAGCCACATTCTTCTGGGCTTGGGTCGGCGTGTGATCTGTACTTGAACTCACGTCGGATGAGATGCTTGAGCTGCCTTTGCCTAGAGAAAACAGGAATGAGCAGCTTTTGAGTTTTGTAACTTCAGAAATGGACCATGCCATCCACTCTGTCCCATACCGAGCCATATCGCTTGTTTCCAAGAAAGGAGCCATAATACCAAGAAGAGAGTTTATTAGGTTTCTTGCTTCTTGCATTAAATATCTGACCCATATGAGTGGAACCAAAGCCCTATTACAGTACCGCTCGACTATAAACTCAGACAAGATTATAAAACATGTGATAATGTAATCTCATTTTGGCATATGTGTGAATAAGAAAGGACATGTGGGAAACTCATCTACAGTATTAATTTTTTATTTGCAACTATAAACTATCCATTTCCCAGTAGAGGACAAAAGCACATCTAAGAATGAGGCATTATCCAAATAGTAAGAACCTGCTGGCTCCAAACAGTTGTATCACCTTAAAAACCAAATTCCCTGTTTTAATAGGTTCTCCTTTAAAAAACAAACAAACAAAAAGTGCTTACATATCTAATGCAGTAGTTATCAAGCAGGATGTTTTTCCCTCAAGGGGACATTTGGCAAAGTCTGGGGCCATTTTCAGTTGTCACCACTGGGGAAGGGATGCTACTGGCACTAGTAGGTAGAGGTCAGCGATTCTGCCAAACACCGTACAACACACAGAACAGCTCCCACAAGAAAGAATTCTCCAGCACAAAACATCAGTCATGCCGAGGCTGAAAAACCCTGGTGTAAATAATCTTACTTCAGCTGAGAGCTGAGTTTCTACTCTTCTTACTTTTACTATGAAGATAGACACTAACGTCACTAAACATTCTCAAAGTGTCCTATAGAAGATGGCAAATATGAACCATACTCACTACCTAGTGAGGGAAGGGTCAGTGACTGCAGTGAGCAGATTCAATGTCCCCCCACCCCAACCCCTCAATTCATCTTAAAACCTAACCACCAGGGGGATGGTTTTAGGAGGTGGAACCTTTGGGAAGGTATTAAAGCATAAGGATGGAGACTTCACGAATGGGATTAGTGCCCTAACAGAAGAGGCCCTCGAGAGCTCCCTGTTCCCTTCCATCATGTAAACACATACGAAAAAGACAGCCACCCGTAGACCAAGAAGCAAGCTCTCCCCAGACACCTTGCTCTTGGAATTTTCAGTCTCCAGAACTGTAAGAATTAGATTTCTGTTGTTATATGCCACTAGTCTGTGGTATTTTTTTTTGTAGCCACTTCAACAGTCTAAGCTGATGCCCATGTCTTTTATAATCTCTTCCTTCAAGTGTAGGCAGAACCTGTATACTTGCCTGTAAGCAAGAGAATATGGCAAGTGTGAAGGGGTTTGGCAGAAGCAATTAATTTCCTAATGAGTTGACTTTCATCAAAAGGGAGGTTACCCTGGGTGGGCCTGGCCTAAATAGGTGAGCTCTCTCCAAGAGTCTAGAGAAGAGACCCTGGTGACTAGATCTGAAGAAGCAAGCCACTTTGAGTTCTGCTGTTGAGAGGAAATGAATTTGGCCAACAGCCCGGTGAGCGTGGAAGAGGACTCACCGAAGTCTCAGATGAGAGCCAGCCCTGGCCAGTGTCTTGATCACAACAACTCTGTGAGACCAGAACAAAACTCCCAGCTGATCCAGGCTCAGAATTCTGACCCTGAAAACTGCGAGGTAATAAATGTACCTTGTTGGGGTGCCTGGGTGGCTCAGTGAATTAAAGCCTCTGCCTTGGACTCAGGTTGTGATCCCAGGGTCCTGGGATCGAGCCCCGCAACGTGCTCTCTGCTCGGCAGGGAGCCTGTTTCCCCCTCTCTCTCTCTGCCTGCCTCTCTGCCTACTTGTGATCTCTATCAAATAAATAAATAAATAAATAGATAAATAAAATCTTAAAAAAAATAAAAAATAAATGTATCTTGCAGTAAGCTATTGTTAAGTTTGTGGTCCTTGTCATGTGACAAGAGAAAACTAATATAATGATCACTCAATTCTATCACAAATGAGTTCTTATTGCTTCACACGGTATGATCGGGACTCTTACGTGTGGCTGAGAAACACATTTCCAGTAGTGTTCCCTGTGTAGTAGCACACAACCCAGTTTGGGGGAGTGAGCCTACGTCAAAATACAGAGCTGAAAAGCACAGATGAGCTTCGCTTGAAGAGCTTCTGGGATTTGTTTGTCAATGTTGGGAATAACGGAACACACCAAGGTCATGGGTGATACCACCTGAGCAGGAACCTCAAAGGCCATTGTCTCCCTTTACCACTGTCCATGGCTCACAGTGACTAAGACAAGGCTGTTATTTCTGTTGTCCCTTCCTATTGCACATCCTCCTCCCTGAGAGTTAGCCAAGATGACGCAGCAACTCTTCATTGGTTGTGCTAGCCCATTCTGTGGCCTGGCTGTGGTTGTCATTCATCTGTCATGGTTCACCTTCGGACAGGGTGGACATGTTAGACCAGGTATGTAGTTAGAAGTATGTCAGTGTGTTCTCTAACCTCAGTCTGCTGCTCCCTTGTTTTTGACCTTGGACACTCCCTTCTTCTCCAGGAGTCTCAGTGTCCACATTGGCAGGAGAGAAGGTTGGACTGAGTGATTCCCAGTGGCTCAAATTGTCTATGATTCTATGAGTCCATCACAGTACTCCTCAAGCCTAAGTAATGCCAATACTCCCTTTAATATGGCAAACAGCATTGCTGTTCACCACTAATGGAGACTTAAATTATTTTTAGTATACCGTTATTTAGTGATGCACAAATGGAAATCTAAAAATAAACTCCATATGCTTTAACTCTGATTCAACAATAAGACCAAAACAAAGTAACGAATTAAACACAAAAACAAGAAAGTCCATAAAATTCAAATTAACAGCATTAATTTAATGTGGCAGATGATATTTTGCAGAGAGATTAAATTGCCTTACAAAATGTAAATATATAACTTGCTGCTAAAGCCAATATTCTCTTGGTTTGGGCATACCCATACTACCCACCCCCACACAGTGAGGGCTTGGCCTGCCCACCATTTTCCTCCATTCAAACTCAGGGGTCCTTCCTCCCAGAACACAATGACGCACCACTGGGCCTTCACTCAGTCTGACTGTTTCACTCACGATCTTTAAGTCTGCTCCTCTTTTATTCCTTATTGGCCCATAAGCATCAAAGTAGAATTCTTGCCTTAAAAGACAGATGTAAACGTGGACAATGAAATCTTATGGCAGGACTCACCAAGAAAGGGGAACCAGTATATAATGATTTATTGTTTTTATGATTGTCATCAAAACGAAAGCACAAAGTGAAACAAATTCCAGAGGAAATACTCAGGTCTGAAAACAGAATGCAGACCCCCTCAGGGGACCACAAACTCCAATTTAAGAAATGCTGGTCCATGAAGAAAGGGAAGAAGATAAATATATATATATATATATATATATATATATATAATCAATGATATTTATAATAACAGCTGTGTATGCTGTGCCATGTTGTCTAGTAAATACTTTAACTGTTCACCACATAGTCCATGTGCCCTGTGGCTATCTTCTGCAATCACTTTTCCATTACTGCCTTCCTCCCCAAGGAAATTTTCTGGACTTTTTTCGTAATTATTGTCCAAGAGAAATTGTAATTTAACCAATATACTGTATAACTGTTACAAGCTCTGTGTAGATCTCTGGTTTTTACATAAAAAGGAGTTCTCACCCCGCCCCCACTTAAGAATCAATTTTTGTCCCTTTGAGAACATGGGCTTTTGATAGCACAACACTGAGTATTTAACAGATTAACTAATTAAGGAAAGCAAGGTAATAGAGAAATACCGTCCACTCTCATTACTCATGGTAGTTGTGTTCTACAAAGTCACCACGAACCATGAGCCAACGTGGAGCGCCACGTGTGCCTCCATCTCACGGCCAGGTAATCATGACCCAAGCCATAGCCAAGTGTTTAACTGAGCCATCCAGTCGCCCCTTGTCTCTTCATTTTATTTTTTTTTTTAAGATTTATTTATTTGACAGACAGAGATCACAAGTAGGCAGAGAGGCAGGCAGAGAGAGAGGAGGAAGCAGGCTCCCCGCTGAGCAGAGAGCCTGATGTGGGGCTTGATCCCAGGACTTTGGGATCATGACCTGAGCCGAAGGCAGAGGCTTTAACCCACTAAGCCATCCAGTCACCCCTTGTCTCTTCATTTTAAACCTGCAAAACTAAGTTTCTTCTCTCTTCTCCTTCCCAGTGCCCAGGCTGATTTTGTAAATGCAGGTATTTAAAACAAGACAGTCAGACATTCCATTGTGATTTATTGATAATGTGAGAAAGGTAAAGGGTGAAATAGAAAGACTGATCAATACATGACAAGAAAATGAACCAATGGGTCCTATGATCTTCAACATTCTTAAGAGTCCAAGAAATTACTTGCAAAATTGATCCCTTATATAACTTCCAGATTATATGCATTGAATTCATTCCTGTGGGTTTCAGCCACAGACTTTTGATATGAAATCCACAAACAAGCACGTGGGCCGAGTGGGGGCCTCAGCCCGTAACATTTCGGGTTCCTTGCCGTACCTTGTTTTCAAGCCGCTGTTGGCACACCATGACAGCCTGGTTTAATCAAATGAAAGAGAATTTTTTTCAATATCTTAGAATTAGATCACGGGAGTGGTGGGTCATATTTGTGTGTTGAATTCACTGTTATCTTCCTGATTGTTATCTTGAGATAATTTCTTACCTTCTTTGATCCACAGTTCAAGTGTCTCTACATAAAGAATAATATTACTTATCTCAAAGCATGATCTGGCTTAATCCCCAAACCAGGTGCACACTGGGTTTTGAAAAGAAACTGATATTGTGAAAGCCTATTAGCTCTTTCAGGCTAAAGGGGAGAGGGGGATTTAGCAAAGGAATTCTCCAGAATCAGAGACCCTGACGGAGAGGGAAATGAGGGATCAAATCCTACACACTCTGCTTTCTTTTATTGTGAGCAAAAATCAGTAGATGGTGCCTTTTGTGTTTGCGTCTCCCCTAACCAGAAC